TTTGCGGACATGAGACTTACATTAATTTCCTAACATCGTACCCTAAACTGACCTTAACCACTGACCCCAAAATCAGCTTTTCCCCAAATGGGGACACAGCTTTTGTCCCCAGTTGGACGAGGCGTCCCCAATTAACCGGTCTTCGGTCTGAAATTTGTCCCCAACACACACACATGGGTTCCGCTACTTGGCCTAAATCTGACGGCTGCTGACAAAGTCCTGAGTTTCTGGTTGTTCCAACTCAACCCTCGACTGTGGGTTAAAACCTGTCGTTGCCATTTCAGGCCACTTTCGCCGCCCGTTCCACTTCCTGCCCGTTAACGTTAACGTGACCACCCACAACCCACAAGCTGCTCTCGGAGCTGGTGAGAGTAGAACTCAGGTGCAGAGGATTTTGATGTAGACTTGATGCATCACGGAGACCCCCCCCCCCCCCAATATACAAATGCTAACAGAGTAACATGAGCAACCCCCCCCCCCAAGTCTGAAGATGTCTCCTCCACTATCAGTTTATATAAAATGTTCCTATTGGATGAAGTCTAATGTCAAACGTCTTGACACTGGTGAAACACGCACAGGACTCGGAGCTGGTGCGTCTCTGTCTGAGTTAGATATGAACGTACATGAGCGTAGACACTACAGTGTCCTGCTGGTTGGCACTTTATCTACAAGCTGACCTTCGGGGACAGAAAGGAGAATTTGTGGAATTGGACAGACACGGTTCTCCTGGTGGTGCACAGATGTAATGTGAGAGGATGGTCAAAGCTCCTCAACAGCTGCAAACTGAGAAAATTATAAAATGGCAAGTTTTGACGTGTAATTGTTGTTGTGCAATCACAAGGTCAACGCCTCCGACACACACGTGACCTGATCTCCTCCGGCTCCTGCTTCAGATGAGAAAGTCTTGAACTGGAGTTCATGACTGGAGCAGTATCTGTCAGATTCACGAGGTTTCTATCTTAGGTCAGTTCTTAGTTTCAGTTCATCACACACACACACACACACACACACACGTCACGTACCTGCGGACCATGAGCTTCAGAGTCTTGTACGATCCTTTCACCAGGGTAATGGCCTCCTGTCTGTATCCCGTCAGCTCCACATCATTAATAACGATGATCTCATCTCCCACCAACAGAGGCTGCTCCAACGTGTCGGCCTTACCGCCCTCCTCCACCTGCATGCACACACACACACACACACACACACACACACACACTACTGAGAAGATGTCGATGTTTATGTGAATTTCCAGTTAATTGTCGGAGGCTCATGACGCAGCTTCTTCTTGGTTCTGTGAGCTGAACATGTTCTGGATCGGTCTATGTACTGGAAACACACTGAGATGAAACGTGAGGAGTCACACTCACTGTTATCAGGGTTTCCATTGTTGTGG